GTTCGATTCCCGACATGGGTACAATTTGTGAAGCCCATTTCTGGTGTCCCCCGCCGTGATATTGCTGGAATATTGCTAAAAGTGGCGTAAAAACAAACTCACTCACTCGCTCCTTTTTGAAATAAAGTGTTCTCGACTGTTAAATGAATACAAAGACTACAAAATATCATTTTGCTGATTTGTATTCCGCTCTGATATCGCTTGAACCATTTGATGTTGAGATGGTATGTAAATTAAATATTCATCGGTCCTGACATTTGAAGAACCAAAGACAAAGTGGATCAAAGCCATTATGTCCTTTGAGATGCCATAAAATGAATTTCACTTATGCATATTATTAATTCATAAATGTCAGCTTTCACAGAAAGAGCCATCCACGCCCGCTTACATGTACCTGATATATTCGTGTTTTCATATTATTACCTTTCTTAAAGTATTTATCAATCCTTTATGCATCAAGTAATCCGTTGGTTCGAGTCCTGGTTCGTCCCATGTTTCGAGGATTGTCAGCACCATACCGTGCTCGGGGGTTTCACCAAAGTGGTAAATGTCTGAGACCTACATCACTTCTGGCTTTCCTCCCGCACCAAGCTACCAAAGAAACGGGTATAATGCTGAAAACGCCGTTCAACACAACTCACTCACTCATGTAATCGAAAGTTTAATAAACCGTAAACCTAATTCCGAAAAAGGCGTAATCGAGTTACTAGTAAAAGTAAATTGGTATTTCATAGGAAAAGGCATTAGTCATTATCAGACGAAATAAATGGACCACCATGAATATGACCTTTTTACCTTTACTGCGTATATTGAGGTCTTGGAATTCGAAAAACACATTAGCGATTTAGTAGCGGTAATTTGATTACTGAAGATGTCGCCCACACAACCCTGGGCAGTCGCGGACCCGAGGCTGCCGTGGCGATATGTATTATATCAACAGGTCAGACAGATCATAGGTCATGACCCTAGTGGACCCAAATATACATCAATATATAATTACATATATTCCACCAAAACGAAAAGTATCCAAAACTGCGTTATTACAGTCTTTGATAGATTTGAGTTAATACAAATAATTTGGTAGTGATTGTTCCACGCTTTATCTGCGATCATTAACATGAGTTATGAAAACCTTGTAAGGCCATGTATTCATTCATCCGTATGTAACACAAATTGAACAAGATACATTTTTACATGTATATGAGACCCGTGAAGATCGGGGGTAGAATAGATCTTTAGCAATCCATGCTTGTCGTAAGAAGCGAAATACGGGATCGGGTGGTCAGGCTCGCTGACTTGGTTGATGCATGTCATCGTATCCCAATTGCGTGGATCGATGCTCGTGATGCCAATCACTGGATTGTCTGGTTCAGCCTCAATTATTTCCAGACCGCCAAATGACAAACAAACAACATGTATATGACATTCGACATTCTAGAACTATTATTATGAGTGAGTGAGTGAGTGAGTGAGTGAGTGAGTGAGTGAGTGAGTGAGTGAGTGAATGAGTAAGGAGTTGGGTCTTGTGCCCTTGGAAACTATTTCAGTTACATCACCGCTTGTTAGAGAACAATCCAAAGTGTGCAGGTCTTTACTACTACAATTTAACTCACGAGAAGAGTACAGTTTTGAACGACCGAGCATTGCAAGTAGCAAGTAGCGAATCTGGGATTCGAACCACGACCAGATGATCAAGAATGCCAAAGATCTCAAATCTCTCTACATGCGTGTATATTAGCACACATTCTAAAAGCAAACCATCTAAAAATTCTGTAGACACCAAACTTGGATTCTCAATGCATTAAATATTCATGATAGTATAAAGCAAAGTAACAGCCCTCAACAATGCCACAATTCAGACACGTAATCGCCACTCGTAGACTCATGATTAGCGGGTTACATGCGACATAGTATTGGCCTCAGACACTAAGGAGAGGAATGTTAGAAGTAGTGGTACCACGAAGACGGCGGATGTGTCTGCAAGTTATTCGTCGGGGACTAGTTTGTCAGTACTTTGCAATGGGGGAAGACAATTTGGCAATTAGTAATGCTGAACCCCTCTGAACATTACTTTATTAAGAGGTAGATAAGCATCACTACTGGTCAGTTTCATTACGTAGGTACTTCAGATGTCGACTTCAAAGGGAGGTAGTTATTGATCATCATGAGGGTCTGGTACATGACTTAGAGACTCGTGTATGTGTCATACTGGTGGGTGATCCATGATTCAATCAAGGGGTGTCTGACGACCGGTGAATTATCACAAAACCTCCAATCGCCCTCAGGCGATTCTGTTGTGAAAGCTCAATTTACGTACAGTTACATTAAATGCATAACGTGACAGCATAACAGCTATGGGCGATTGCACAAAGAGTTTATATGTAAAATGCAATAGTTACAGTATTAAAGTAATACCTCTGAGTAAGTGATCTGTCAGTTTTGTTCAACAACACCACGACTGTATTTCACTAACGTCTCGACATGAGAACTGAAAGGATAGGAAACTGAGACGGGTTGGACGTTGTAAAACCAAGAATCCGAATCGCAAATATCGCAACGAGGAACCTCTGAAACAAACGTTATACTTGGGATAACCCTTACTTTGTTAAGTAGAGATTCTCGGTCTTTTTTTCTTTTCTTTTTCTTTCGCCAGCACACAAAGTCAGCGATCTAGCCCACTTAGCCACCGAGGCTTCCACAAAAATGAAAGTCCGACAACTGGTAGTCTAGATCACATACTTTGTGTACCCCCCTGACAAGTTACCAAGAAAGTGTTATCCCAAATATAACATTTGTTACATTTGACCACTTTCTAAATGGCATTGTGTGTTCATAGAGAAACCTCTGATTTACTACCAGGTACAGAAAAATCAACTGATCAACTAGATGAGAATGTCTCAAGTATTATCAAGATAACTATTAACTGATGTATGCTGACACAGCTGATATATTATAGATTCAGAAACCTTTAAGAAAAGAGATTGAACCTGAAGAAATTGAGATTGAAAGCCAACATTGCATGCAGGTTATGTTGGATTTGTATTTATGCTTAACCTACCTTGAGATATAGTATAAGAATGTTCCAGTATACGGCAATGTGCATAATATGTATAAACATGCTTTTAAACGAATTCAAGCAGTATTGTTCCTACCAATGCAGCACGAGATAAATTATAAACAAGACTGTTTATCTTTGTGATGGTAATGTGTGAGCTATTTCCGATGACGGCCATCAACAGGTGCCCCCAAATAGTTGCCAACATCACCAGACATGCATGTCCATGTGTATAACCATGTCTCCGTGACTAACTGCATTCAGTGGAGTACACGCTGTCCATCACACGTGTAAGAGATTGTTTAGGCGGACGTGTCTGTTTCCCTACAACAGCGAACCGTAGGTCGGCATACCCTAAACGTCAGCACGGCATTACCACTGCGAGCCTGTATGTCAAACGTCATGTGTAAGATAGCTGCATAACGAGACAGCCCCGTCAGAGATCACTGTGTCAGTGACATCCATACACAGTTACATGGACACACATAATCTCAAGTGAAATCATGCTCGCGAATGTTGAAATCAAAGCATGGTCTATCCATAGTCAAGTGAAACATCGTTCTGAGTAATCCACTTGAGCATGTAACTTTGCATGTTATGGAAATAAGAGTATACGTATGCGTAAGGTATTCCAATTGATGCTGGAAAGAAATCAACTTAATGCCTGTCCGAATCAGTATCCATGTAGTAATACTCTGTCGAATGCATTGCTCTTTCTCTTGAGTCAACTTGTAATGTTTTATCAAAGTTGCATTCGAAGCATTTGCCTGTGAATAACGAATAGTTTCTCCATTGCTCAGATAAAGCATACTTATCCATATTCAAGTGGAAACATATCCGTAACCACATTTGTTTGAAAATAATGTGTTTTCGTTCTTGCTTAGGCAGGTTTTACCGTTGTTCCTGACAAAATAGCCTTTTTCCTAGACCCTATTAAGTCATGTTTTTTTCATTTTTTTCATGCTTCTTTGAAAACATGATTTATTTATGTTCCCATAGTAGCATGTGTATTATTGCCCCGGTGAAAGTATATTTCATCATATTCATGTGAAATCATATTTCGCTCCATTATCCCGTGAAAACATATCTTTTTATGCCTAGAAAGTATATTTTATCTATGTTCCTGAAACATGAAAGTGTATGTTTCATCCATACGAGCCATAATCACCCCGGCTATGCGAAACGAACTACAGAATCTCCAGTTAGCACGTGTAGAGGATAATGTGCAGTAGACAAGATCCCCAGCGTTACATACAGCACAGAGAGAGAAAAGAAACATGACGTTTAATATAGCTTCTTATTTATACGTTTTCCGGCTTGCCAACCAGGGTATCGTTGACGTGATATTAGCCCTTCCCCAAGAACGTGGTTTCTAGATATATATCTTACAACATGGGTGATACATTTTATGTTCGCAGTAGAAATGACTTTTTATCAAAACTGCTGTTTTACCCAAGTCAAGTGCAGTTGAGCATAATTTGATATAATTCAACGCCAACATTATACCACAGAAGACAATAATGTTTGATGAATGGCCTGATAAATTATTCAGATGATAGGCTTTTATACCTGATACAATCTAAATGGTCACTAAGTTCTTTCATGTTAATCATTATTAGGTAATATTTCAAACGTATATTGATAACTGTGTGTGGGTGTATTTACGCGCAGGATAGATACTACAGTTTCAATACTTTAGTTTCAAAAACATTTCAGTTAACTTGCATATTTTAGAATATTGATTTTATGATTATATCAGATATAATGATTTAGGGACATCATTATGCAGTTATTTGCATTAAATATTTTTTTGGAAAATAACAGGTTCGACATTTTATGGCTATAAACATTAACAATCTGCCATGCTAAAAAGTATGCTGTCATCAAATGTTATTACAAAACACATAAAGTACACGATATGGATTACACATAAATCAACACTCACCTTTCTTTTGGTTCTTAACTGTTGGAGATCTCTAGCCTGATCAGCATTTCCCGGGGAAGTTCGAGTCCATAATAGAATCCCCACAATTGAATAGGTCACAGAGAGGATGAAGAGAGGCATTATGTATGTGATAAAGAGCACAAACAATGTGAAAATCCTTCTAGATAAGGGACTCGTCCATGTTTCATCACAAACAATTAAATGATAATCACCCACTCTCACATCATATGCCCTCCCAACAACCAGCTGAACAGATGAAAGCCCTATTGACGATACCCATATCGTCACCAATACATATTTTGCCCGTGCAGTGGTCAAGCGGGACTTGAGTGGAAACATGACAACGAGGAACCTGTCTATACCTATTGCCATGTTTGTGAACACGCTTGCTGACACTGACAGGTGTTGCATGAATAAGACAACTGGACACATGGGTTTGGAGAACAGCCACGTCTTTAGCATGACGGATGTAAAAGTAAATGGCATACAAAAAAGGGCCATGATGAGATCGGCCACTGCAAGGTTGATGAGGAACGGCCTTATATCAGTGCGACATCGTCTACCTTTACAAAACACAAGAACAACGAGTAGATTCCCCATGATGGCAAGAATGGTTGTTAATGAGTATAAAAATATTAATCCTATTTTCGAGTCCTCGGACAGAACCAAAAACGGAATGTCGGAGGCGGAGGTATTCCCTGATGACGAGTTTGTGTGGTTGTCCAACTGTGACAAAGTCGTATCCGCCATCGGAGGTTTACATGGGACCTTTGAGCAATTTCCCTCCCAACTTCCCATGTCCTCGAAGTGAAGATGGAAGGAAGCGCGCAGGAAGTTATCATACCCTTCTCGACACCTTTTCCTGGAGTCCCATGAGACTGTCGCTGCCCCCTTTAATCCACAGTAATATCCTAAGTCGGAAAGAATCCTGCGAAGCGATCGTTCTCAAGGCCCCAACCTGAACGGCGGGAGATAACCAAATGAAGTGCGCTCTCCTCTCCTGTCGTCTGCTAAGTATTGGCAACGTGAGGCTATCGATTCTAACGGCCCGTGCCGCTCTCGTGCGCACGTGCAACAGAAATCAGCGATACGCGCAATCAAGAGTATTCACAATCTCCCGTGAAGACAGCCATTGTTCATGTTTCATATGTGCGTCATTCCTCATTTAAAATCGATATCAATCACCTACACCTGTTTACATGCGGACAGGAGAACGGCAGGTTTTTTTCTCAGACTGGTCCATGTGTCGGGAATAGTCACCCTTGAACAAACAAGCACACGTTTCCTTGATTGAAACTTCTGTAAAGAAATGTTGAATCAGTTGTGGGAACAATTCTCTTCTCACACATAGAGTTGGGGTTTTGACGTAAAATGATCCTATTTAAAGCAATGTCCCTGCCACGTCTATATTCCGCATCATCTGTTGCACAGTAAAGAGAGGACACAAGCATAACATTTCCCTGGACCACAAATCACATCACGGAGGTCGCGAACAGGTTATCCCATTGGTCAAGTCCACACACCTTGAAACGGCGTCTCCCAGAGCGTACGATCGACACTGAATGTGTTCCTCGGAGCACGAATCGCCCCATTGTCGACGACCTGGCGACTGAGATGGGTCAGTGAACGGTAGTGAGTGTGTAACTTTTCCGTAGCATCGGAGAAAAGATCAATTGGCGTAACTTATGTGGCACGCAATTATTCGTTTGTATGTTTACGGTCGACTTGTCTTACTTGTTGGTCGACGAGAGAGGTGAGTCTGGAGTCAGTGTACAGAGGTTTGATTGCTATTAAAGTAGCGTGAAGTTACAGGAGCAGTTGTAGATCGAGTTTAATGTGTACGGATTCGACAAAATTCATCCTCAATTTATCATTCCTTAAACATACATTCATGTTACACCTACATCCTCCCTCCTCTCTCTCTCTCTCTCTCTCTCTCTCTCTCTCTCTCTCTCTCTCTCTCTCTCTCTCTCTCTCTCTCTCACGTGTGTCTGTTGTACACCTCTCTCACACATCTGCATGTGTCTGTTGTACACCTTTCTCAAACATATTCACGTGTGTCTGTTGTACACCTCTCTCAAACATCTACACATGTGATTGTTATACACCTTTGTCACACATCTACGCATGTGTTTGTTGTACACCTCTCGCACACATCTACACGTGTATCTGTTGTACACCCCTCTCAAACATCTACACTTGTGTCTGTTGTACACCTCTCGCACACATCTACACGTGTATCTGTTGTACACCCCTCTCAAACATCTACACTTGTGTCTGTTGTACACGTTTCTTACACATCTACACGTGTGTCTGTTGTACACTTCTCTTAAACATCTACATGTGTGTCTGTTGTACACGTCTTCATCAACTACACTTGTGTCCGTTTTACACGTTTCTCACACATCTACGTGTGTCTGTTGTACACTTCACTCAAACATCTACACGTGTGTCTGTTGTACACCTCTCCATCATCTACACGTGTGCCTGTTGTACACTTCGCTCAAACATCTACACGTGTGTCTGTTGTACCTCCTCTTTTACCACTCGAACTTTTATTTATCTTCAATAGCCTCTCGTATTTCACACAGGTTTACATGTAATACATTCCTATCTGAGATCAACAGCATGTCGGAATTTTCTTATTGAAACATCGACAAAATCTGATCCTTTCTACAAGTTAAGCTAGCAAATTAAAGGATACATTTGAAGAGCAATATTAAATCTCAAATCTGATTTTCTTATGATCACACATGTTTCAATTTAAATCATAAAAATACATCCGCAGAAAAAATGCTCAAACAGAATCGTTAAGTACAAATGTTATTGATGGTGTTGATATGTAACATGAAAAACAAATAATAAACAGCCGCAATGACGCTCATCCCCAGCATCAAGGATCAAGCGAAACATCATACTTTAACTCCTCTCAGAAATTAATCAACACTTGGGTGTTTTATTTCTCTGCTATCTACGACTACCACCGACCTTGGTATTGTATTACACACATTAAACTTGGAGATCGGGATGCAGATACGAGAGTTAATCAAGCCGAGCACTGAGTCAACATGCACATTAAGACGTCCATCATCCAGTCATGTGACACCGCACCTTGATACTGACAGCTTGACGGTGTACATGTAGTGTATAACTGAATGAGGTAATAAGCATCCCTACTGGACAGGGCTTAACCGGTAAAACGGCGAGTATGTTATAAGGGAGTTATGGCCCCTTTTCCGTGTCCGGGTTTCCATAACGTTACAGATGTATAAATTGCTTCAGTCATCTTTTGATTTCATAACCCATAATACATTATCGGTATGCTGCATCGATACGTGTTATTGCATTATATACAACATTCAACATGCTAAATGTGTCAATAATCACACGTCTGGTATAATAGAAAATAAAGATTTCTAAATAGCATACATTTAAGACGTCAAAGAGTGTAGATCTTTAATAATAGTATATACACATTTTGGCTATTATTTTCACGTACACCTGGTGTCATTGATTTTCAGATATCCAGTTATATAGATCCATCAATATTTTGCATTTGAATCCGATAATCGTGATGATAGCGTTGATGTTATGTACTTACAACAAGAAGAGTTCGGGATAGAATCGCTACCCGCAATTGTTTGTCATAAGAGGGAACAGAATAGGGCGACGCAGTGAATTGAAGAACTGCGTGACAGCGTACCCGACGGCGTGGGAAGGTGCTCACAATATCAACCAGTGGTGTGGCTGATCCAGACTCGATAAGTTACAGGCCAGTCTGATATAGCTTGTATATCATATTAAGCATCTAGACAATATTGCGAAGTAAATGATTGTTACTTCAAAATAGCGAATAATATGTACAACAGTGCCCTTTTTTGCTAGCCTGTGATGCAGAGCTGTGAAACAGCCCTGTGGAATTCTATACACATTATATAAGGATCTGTAGCCATTAAATGCGATGTATCGTTTTGTTAAAGAAAGAAACAGTTATTGCTTAGAGATTCAAATATTTATGTCTTACTTATCTTATTTTTATAGCCACTTGGAAATATTATCTTGTAGGCGTAGATTAAGTAATCAGTAGGAACTAGGGAGGTTCCTAGAATTCAGTTGTTTTCGTATGAAAGTCCGGTACTGAGATGCATGTCTCTAGAAGCATTGCAAATGTAGTTATGTTGTTTTATTACTCAACAAGATAACATCATACAGAGTCGATAAGTAATGTGTATACCACGCTGAATGACAGATGTAAGTTTTAAGGTAATAACTATGAAAATTTTATGTATTTAAGTTAAACTTTTTGTTCTCCGTTTTGCAGATGTCGTGGAATGTTCCTGGAGATTAAAGCGAAACTAAACTCTCTGATTAGTGAGGACACACGTTATTACGTGTAAACAATGAAAACACTTGAAACACCGTTAACATGGACCGATACATTGCAAACATTGATTTTAAACAATGTAAACATGGACTGATACACTGTAAACGTTGACTGATACACTGTAAACATGGACTGATACACTGTAAATATGGACTGATACACTGTAAACATGAACTGATACACTATAAACATTGATTTGAAACACTATTAACATGGACTGATCCACTGTAAACATGGACTGATACACTGTAAACATGGACTGGTACACTGTAAACGTGGACTGATACACTGTAAACATGGACTGGTACACTGTAAATATGGACTGATACACTGTAAACATGAACTGATACACCATAAACATTGATTTGAAACACTATTAACATGGACTGATACACTGTAAACATGAACTGATACACCGTTAACATGGACTGGTACACTGTAAACGTGGACTGATACACTGTAAACATGGACTGGTACACTGTAAACGTGGACTGGTACACTGTAAATGTGGACTGATACATTATAAACATGAACTGATACACTGTAAACATGGACTGGTACACTGTAAACGTGGACTGATACATTGTAAACATGAACTGATACACTGTTAACGTGGACTGATCGTTGGACTTTCCTGTATACACAACGTAAATGATTAAGCCAATTTTAACCTTTTTCTTCAGTAATAACGCCTCGTCTGTATCACAGATGCTTGTGTTATCAGACACAGCGCGGAGGTCGATACTGTATAAGCACTTGTCTGAAGAGTTGAGTACCACAACACACTAAATCAGCCAGGTCACCTTCGCGGAAAGTCGGTCTAACTATTACCCATCTCATTCCATATACAATCATGTACTTATCCACTCAGAGTAATCCAGCAGGTCGACTTCAATAAACTTATTAGTCGTACTTCACCGCAACAAAGAACTTGGAAGTATTTCTAACCTTGAGTGTCCATGCGTGGGAACGATAGAACCAAATCACTCTCGGCCCCAGTATCTGTAGTTATGATTAACTATTGTATAATATTATACATAATTTGTATTATTGTCATCCGAGATTTCACGTAATAAAATGTTGCAATTCTTAAACTATTCATTTGTGGTCAAAATTGTGAGAAAAATCAACACCTATTCAGCTGTATATTCCAAACGGCAAGTTTCGATTTTGCCAAAACTGGCTCCATAGGGCGTAAAAGGCAAAATAGCGATGGTAATTATATAAATGGATCACTGAAAAGCAGTGAGCGCGAAAAGAGTAAGGGGTCTTGCTCAACCGGACACTTAAACAATCTCCATTGGCATGTATGTTAAAGTAAGTGTTTGACTACTAGGTTCGGGACAGGATGGTCCAGTCGTCTAAGGCGCCGCGTTTCGCTGTGCAGAGTTGCGTCCCTTGGGCACGCCAGAAACCTATGATTGTGGGTTCGAATCCCGGTTCGCCCCGATTTTGTTTCTAGGTTTGTCAGCACTATACCCGTGCTCGTGGGTTTCACCGAAGTGGTAAACGTCTGAGACCTGCATCACTTCGGGCTTTCCTCCCACAATGAGCTGACACGCAGTGATACAACTGAAATACTGTCAAAAGCGGCGCTAAAACCCAACTCACTCACTCATTCTACAACCGATCGGGCGCTGGTGCTTCTCTTTTCGACAAGAACGGTTTAATTTCACACTATGGAACATTCCGTTACTGGTCATAGGCGACAGGGCTGGTTTCAACTTGTTGTCTTATTGTATTTATCAGGTCCCTCAGTCGCAAATTATTTATTTATTAAGTAAAACATGGCTGATACAGGTTTCGATAATCACTTTTGAATCGTTACTTTGAAAGTAAACTACTTTCAATTGAGGAGTGGCCATTTCCCTCCAACTAAGTCATTTTCCTGACATTTTTTGTTCGTTTAAGAATTTAACCGCCCCCGTGATCTAGCGGATAGAGTGGAATGTCGGTGCTTCGATCCCCTGGTCGCGTTGTACGAAAAGAGGTTAAAAGATGGTACGTTTTGTTACCCTACCTGGCGCTTGG